GAGGGTGGATTCCCTGAGAGGTAAGGGCTGAAGCAGTGGGAAATAGGTGGTGTCACCTGGAGAAGGATGGAGCACTGAGAAGAGGATGGGGCCATGCCAGGGTTCTTCTGCCCACCCCACACTCTCTAATGCAGGAGCCAGGCTGGATGGGGATGGCTAGAGAGGCTCCTGGGTCCAACCACTCCCTTAGGGGCCACTGGGGCTGAGCTAAGTGGAAACAAATGTTCCTGGCTTCTCCCCAGCCCTGTCCTAGTGGGCGAGCAGCAGCGCCTCCTGCTCATCCCTTGCTTCCCTCTTCCCCTCTGTCTCCAGCTCCTTTAGGGTTCTTTCTCCCTTTGACTGATAGGGTGATGGAAAGGCTGGGGGCATAGATAGGGCTGAGAGATGTGGAAGATGTGAGGCAGGTGGGCTCTGTAGGGAACCAGAGCCTGGGGTTGGGGGTTCCTTTGGATAAAGTCCCAGAGGGAGTCTCAGGGAAAACTTGACCTGCAAGGCAGGGAAAGACTGTCTAAAGCTAGGAGTCAGAGTTCCTGCCCTGGTCTGGAAAGGCACACTCTTATGAATTCACGTGGGCTGGGAAAGGCTGGAGTATAGCGATCCAGGATTCAGAAGGGAGAGGAAAGTGATTTTCTCTTTTTTCTATCTTTTTCCTTTCCTCCATCTCTCTAGAGGGCTGGCCTTTCCTCTCTCTGTTCTCCTGGGGCCCAGAGACCCAAGGCCCTTAGGAATTCTCAACTCCAGTCACCACCCTAAAGGAATGAGAGTGAGGTCCCATTGCTGGGGAAGGAGAGAGGGAGGGAGGGAGAACGGTGGGGAGGAAGAGAGAGAGGGAGGTGACTGGGAGGGGAAGGGTCACAGGCCCAAATTCCTGGGCTCCTGCAGCTTCAGTCATTCTGAGAAACAAAGAAACAGAGAAAGTGATTTAGAGACACACACCAAATAGAGACCGAATTATGGAGATGGGAGAAACTGGAAAAGACACACAGAAATACAGTGTGAGAGAGACAGACAGAGGACTCTGCTTTCCCCTGCAGCGATTCTGATGTTATCTGTCTCCAGCTGCCTCTCTCCGCCTCCACAGTCCCCACCTCTGCCCCTCCTTCCTCTCCAACCCCGCAGCCAGACACCCCTGTCTCTCCTTCCCCGTCTCTCTTTTGCACCACGACCTAGACTTAAGGCAGAGAGATGGGGGAAGAGGTGGAGGGGACTTAGGGGACAGAGAGAGAGGGATTGGGGTGGCACCACTCCATTCATTCTGGGCTGCTATGTTCCCCTTCCCATCTCTTGTGAATGCTCCTCTGTATGAATGCCAGTGCAGAGGTGGTAAGTGTGTGTGTGTATGTGTGTGTGTGTGTGTGTGTGTTTGTATGCATGCATGTGATCTCCAGGGAAGCAGACATGTGTCTCAGCCTGAGCCAGCCCATCTATGTGTCCATTCATACCTGTGGGTGAAAGTTACCAAGCATTGTTTAGGAGAGGCGAGGTGTCCTGTGGTTCCTATGGGGTTATCTGGAAGCCTGTGTCCAGCTGTGGGTGTGTGTGGGTGTGCATGTGTGTGCATGCACCTTGATCTGTCTTTGTGTGCCCCTGCCTCCATCTCCTGGTTTCCCAGCCCTGCTGCATGGAGGATCTTCTAACATGACAGTGGTGGATGGAAGCCTCAGGAACACCTGAACTCATCTCTCTGAAAGTTTGAGGGCTTAAGGGCAGAAGTCATTGCTCTGGCTCCGCCCAGATGCCAGCCAACCTCTAGATGGGGGTGCAGAGAAGGCAAAAGGGATGAGGCCAGGAACAAGGTTGCCCTTGGAACAGAGGCCGTGGGAATTGGGGCTTCAGGAGACCTGCCCATCACAGACTGCAGCCCACCCCTCCCCTACCGCAGTGCTTCTGCAGGCACTACTGGGCCAGCTGATTATGGAATGGGACTCTGGGGTGCACTGGGGTGGGGTGGGGGTGTGCAGAAAGAGGGCTTGGGGAGGATAGGGATGGCCAAATATTCTGCAAGGTCTGGCCAGAGAGAGGACTGCAGGAGGGGTGGGGCGTTCTGTGTGTGTTTGTAGGAAAGGTGGGGGGTGGGGGCAGAAAGGCCGCCTGCGGGGGAGAAGGCTTCTTGGCAAACTCCCCAGTTTCCTGAGCTGATCCCTGCTCCCTGCCACTGCTCCCAATTCTGTTGTTTCAATAACATCATTTTTATCCACCCCACAGAGAGACCGAGTATTAGGAGGGGGAGGTGAGGAGCAGGGCTAGGGCATGAGAGGGTGGGAATGGAGAGAAGCTGGGGTCTGGAGGCAGCAGGGACTAGATTTGGGGCGCTCCCTCCTCAGGCAGAGGCAGGGCGGTCCCAGAGCCCTGGTCCCCTGATGACAAAGACAAATACATTAAAATTCTTGCCTCGGAGAAGAATGCAGGATAGGGAGAGCATTTCATAATCTGTAATAACAGTAGCAAGGTGGGGGCTGGGGGGGAGAGGATTTGGAACCCAGGCAATGGTTCCCTGGGGGCTGGTCACTGGCCACCTGCAGCCTCCAGGGACCCCCCAGAGCCCTCCAGCAGCCTGTTCAGTGCACCATCTGGCCTAAGTGTGTGCCCAACCTGGGTATGTCTTTGAGTGTAGGATCTGGGGTTGGCATTGCCCTGCAGAAACAGCAACTGTATACAAAATTCATAGGTACAGGGGCTGTGTGCGGCATCTGGATGCTGTTAAAGTCTAAAATGGGAGGGGCAGCACTCCGGCCATGCCCCCTGGCTATCTCCGTCAGCCACTAGCCCCCTTCTTTAGAGTGCTCCAGCACCCTCACCAGAACTTTCTGTACCCAGTACAAGGGATTAGACTTATACAACCTGGACACCAGGGCCTAGGGTGAGGATCCCAGCAAACCCAGGGGTTTCCCTACGTGCCTAGGCCAAGGCTTCTCCATTTCTTTTCTCCTTTCTACTTACTCATCCTTCCTTTCCCAGATTGGCCTCCTCCCCTGGAGTAGGCATCTAGGGTCTTTTACTGCATTCCCACTTATCTTGATCCACTTGTCCCCACTGTCTGGGGGACTCAGAATCTTGCCTTCTCTCTGCTCACCAGGGTGTTTCTCTCTCTTGGCAGTGGCCTCACTCCCCAAGTTCAGATCCCTCCCTGACTCCAGAAGACCAGGAGCTTTCCTCTGAACGCCTGAAGTTTCTGCCACACGGACGTGAGATCCTCCATCTGTCCTCCCTATCCCAGGGCACCCTTACAGTTTGATGGCCGCTCTAGAGAGTGGTGGTAGGGAGAATGGCCCTTGTTGTGGAATGTCCTGCACCACCTGTCCCTCGACACCCCTGGGGCACGCAGGGGCGGAGGGAGGAGTAGGGACTACAGCTCTCTGCCAGCCCGCTTGGCGTGATGAATGGAGCTGTCCTTCCTCCCCACGGGGCCTTTGATCTCCCTCCGTGGGGAGGGGGCCAAGGGCATCAAAGACATTTTTGTGGCATTAGAGAATCAGATAAACGCCATCTCACCTGCAGCTGGCCCTCCCACCCCTTCTGGCCCAAGCCAAGTTGGGGGAGCAATGTGAGACAGGGACCCAAGGACCCACGAGTACCAGGTGCAGCGCATTCTGACCCCTCAAGCTCTTGGAAGTCTGCAACTTCCACTCTGCTCGCTAACACGTGCGAGTGCTTGATCGCAGACCATAAAGAGTTTCTTCTTGCTGTCTAATTTCCCCTCCGCACCCCCTCGCCCGAACGTGGGCTTGATGAGGCGAGGGCTGGGGAGCAGAGTGGAGGCCTAGCGCTTCCTCCTGTACTAAAGGAACGGTTGGGAGAGGGGCCTGCTGTGCGGAGGTCGGTCCCGTAAGAGGTGACTTCTCCATAGTCTGTTGGGCCATCGAGTTCACATCCCTACCTGGAGCACCCAGCGTCCCAGGCGGACTTCCTCTCCTGGCCCCCGCTCCAGCATCTCCCTTCGCACCGCCCCCCAACCCAAACTCCCTCATTCCTGGGAAGTTTTCTCTCTTTACAGTCAACAAACCTGTCAGACGTCTCCCTTCCAGCCCGTCCCCCATTCCTCAGCTCCTCTTCCTTCCCCCGCTTACCCTTCTCCACCCTACTTCCCCGCCCCTCCTTGCCCC